ATTTTGTTTTCTGTAAGATTTTCTGCTCAGCATTATTTTTTTTTTAACCATACAGCTTAAGTTTTCAGGTATTTACAAGACTTAGGGGGTTGAACCTTCTATGCTGGAGAAGTCATGCAATTGTTTTACTAATTTCGCTGAGGTTACTAAGCACATTGAAGGATTTTGCATGCATTCCTTAGTGGGATTATACATTCCCTGTCTGCGCTATATTTATAGTAAATGCAGTTCAGGTAGAATGGGCAGAGTGCATGTATATAAACCCTAACTTTGACATACCTGGGCTGTATGGGTGAAAAATATATATTTTCAAACCCACAAATATTTTTATTTTATACAAGCTGTTTTTGATATGTAAAAGGCATTTTATATCCTCAAACAGTTTTCTATATTTTGATTTTTTTTTGTTTGTTCATCAACACTTAGTGATCATAAAATATCTAGAACTGTTTATTGTATTATTTTCTAGACCGTGCTAGAATGTGTATTTAAGAGAAAAAAAAGCTATTTTGTTCTTTATATACATACATTATTTGCCTTAGATTTTTAAGACTGTGCTGAACCTTCAGTTTTGCATTGGTTGTAGTTACATGCTGTTTTTATATCTATTTTAACCAATACAGTTGGCTTTTTAAAAAGCAGTGCAAAGAGTATTAATTAATGTGCTCTAACTAATCACTCATCAGCCCTCATTATTACAACTACACTAACCTGCTTAAAGCTGGTACATGATTGCTACTGTGTGCAACACCTTACTGCTTTTTTCACTACTCTGTTCACAATCCCTTGTAACAATTTATACATATAACCATTGTAAAATGAAAGTATTGCATTTCAATTTATATTTAAATTGTAAATATAACCGTTTGATGGCTGTCGTAGGAAGGGTCACACACACCATTTAAGTTATTTTATTAAGTTTGTTGGATGCTTATAACAGAAGTCTGCTTTCATAGTACACTCCATGTTCTACATACATTGGGGGGGTTGGTAAAACATGTTCAGGCGGAGTAAAGAGTGATTTTTTTTTTTTTTTTGGTTTGTTAGCCATATGCCCTGGAGAGCGTGTTTTTTTAAGTATGAAAATTTTCACTTTAGCTTGGTTAGCCATTTGACAAATACTTGATTTTAAAATTAACCATGAACATAACAAAAATGCTAGATTAGTCAGCAGCCCCGTGTCAATGGAAACTTGTAGGCTACTCCATCCACTTCAGCTGACCAAACTATATATTTTATATATTTCAGGTAGTATATTTTTTTGCCAACTAGTAATAAGCATGCACGTTCATCTGATACAAATGTGAGTGAATGTATGAAAAAATCCAGTGTTCTTTGAGTCACTTTAGAGCAGGGGTGCTCAACCTGTGGTCCACAGGGCACTAATGGCCCTTGACCTCCAAAGTGAATGCAGGAGTTTTGTTTTGCTTTGCTTTCAGAAAGTGCACTACACATGCAAGATATAATAGAAGTCTATGGCAAAGCGAGCTAACCCACAGCGAAGCAACAGGTCCACTACACCCACAGTGCTGATAAACTGCAGTGAATCAATGTGAAAGCAGACTTATAAGGGACTCAGGACAGTAAGAGCTTGTTTACATTTGTGGTTTGGGGGCTGTAAAACTCCATAGTTGAGATGTGTTTTTACTACAACCCCCAACCACTGGTGTAGTGTCAAGGGTCGTAAATGCAACCCTGCCTCATGCTCTAGGAGGTCCTGCACCTTCCTTGTCAAATTCTGTTTTACACTTGGACAGGAGGAGAGCAGCACCATGTACAGGAACTAATCCCCTCCATTCTCCTCCTGCAACCACTGAAAGCTGACTTCTCACTCTTTCCTTCCCACCGGCATTCAGCGGCTGCAGGAGGAAATGTTCATTATGTTGTTCACAATAAAAAATTTGAAATTCTGAATCATTTCATTTCATTGTGGCCTGCGACCAGTTACCAAATCACTTAAGTGGCCCCACTTTTTAAAAGATTGAGCACCCCTGCTTTAGGGCATTGCTTGTATTCACATTGCTCAGCCTGACGTTGAGTGGTACGTGGATGTATCATTAGGCTACCATAATTTTGCAGCGTTCATCTCTTACACTGTTCCTGCTAAGGGTCCTTCCTGCAAAGGTTCTGTAGCGAACAGAGACTTGGCAAAATATTTAATAGTCAAAAGTGATATGGAAAGTTCTTAAGAAGCAAAAAGAATAAACTTTAAGGTCAAAATTGATTTTTGTAAGAGAGTAGTTTTCATCAGTGATGTAGGTAATGTTTTAACGTTTTTATTCCTATGAAACAAAAAGATAGGTAGGCGTTTAGACAGGCAGATTATGTGTCAGATATTTTGGAGGCCACTGTCTAACGCCAAATATAATGCTTGATGGGCCTATTGTTTGTATAACTTTGTACTCATTCAGTACCTGTTCTGTTAAATAACTTGTCAATGTTCATGGTCATCTGCACCTTTTGCTTTACCAAAGTAAAGAATCGCAGGCTTTTGAAAGTGGAAGAATAAGTATTAAAAGATTAACGTTCTCTCCTCTGCTGCCTTGGTATTTCTGTTACTATGCGTGGGGGCAGACACGGAGGTGCCTGGGTGCTCGTGCCCTATGTGTTTTTTTTTTTTTTTGTTTTTTTTTTTCAAATTTTATGGATTTCTTGTCATATTTTATATTGTAAACTGTAACATTTAATAAAGTGAATGGACGTAAGCATCCTTTCCTGTTTCATATTTGTTCTTAAAATATATTTGTAATAAGTACATACTATATATTTTTCCAGCATTTAGGTCAGGACCACACTTTTCACGTTAGTATGTTAAAATATCATGTGTGGTTTTGGCCACGCTGGGGGGGTTGGCAAAATAAATAGACTGCCCTAATGTGACACACATTAACGTGTGCATTAACACAGGTGTGATTCTGGAGTCAAGCTCCAGACAAAACGTTCATTTTGAATAGAATAGGGATGGGATAGAAGCTTGGTCAACTTTTTCACTGCTGCCTGTTTCCTTGTTTTGGCATTTCTCCTTACTCAGGAATCTTTCCACTTCCTGTCCATTTAACAGCATCACAGACGAGAAAAAGTGAGACAATATCCTCCATCCGTGACACACATGGCAATAAAAACACATTTTCAAGTAGACAAGCTTTTGAACCTCTCTAGCAAGAGGAACATTTAGAACCTTTTTTGATATAGGGCACATCAAGTGCAGCCTCTGGCATCAGCAAAGGGCCACACATAATGATCGGTATATGTATACTACAAGCAAAGACTGGACACACTACAGTAGGTGGATTCTACAGGAGATAGTCCTTGACTGCAGACATGCTACTGGCATTCCATTACTACTATTATAAACGATTTAGGGTCTGGGATTAAAAATCCCATTTCAGTCTTTGCAGATGACACCAAGCTGTGCAGTGGAATAACGTCCTTGCAGGATGTCTCCAACTCAAAAGCCGACCTCAACGCACTGTAATTGGGCAACTATGTGGCAAATGAGGTTTAATGTTGATAAATGTAAAGTTATGCACTTGGGGGCTAAGAATATGCATGCATCATACATACTAGGGGGAGTACAACTGGGGGAATTAATTGTGGAGAAGGATCTGGGAGTTCGGGTAGATCACAAGCTTAATAATGCATGCAATGCCAAGCTGCAGTTTCTAAAGTGAGCAAAATCCTCTCTTGTATTAAGAGGTATAGACTCCAGAGAGAGAGATATCCTATTACCCCTGTACAAATCATTAGTAACACCTCATCTGGAATATGCAGTTCAGTTTTGGGCACCAATTCACAAAAAGAACATTGGGGAACTGGAGAAAGTACAGAGAAGGGCAAACCAAACTGATAAGAAGCATGGAGGAGATCAGCTATGAGGAATGATTAGAGGAACTGAATTTATTCTCTCTTGCGAAGAGGAGATTAAGGGGGGATATGATCAACATGTATAAATACATCAGTGGTTCATATAGTGAACTCAGTGTAGAACTATTCACCCTGAGGTCATCACAGAGGACAAGGGGCACTTTTTACGTCTGGAGGAAAAGAAAGTTAATCTCCAAACACGGAAAGGTTTCTTCACAGTAAGACCAGTGAAAATGTGGACTAGACTCCCTCAAGAGTTGGTTCTGACCAGCTCAGTGGATTGCTTTAAAAAAAGGCCTGGATTCTTTCTTAGATACACAGAATATAATTGGATACTAACATTTATAGATAAAGTTGATCCAGGGAATATCCAATTGTCTCTCGGGGGATCAGGAAGGAATTTTTTTTTCCCCTGCAGGAGCAATTTGGATCATGCTTTGCTGGGTTTTTTTGCCTTCCTCTGGATCAACTGTGGGTGTAGGATTATAACTTTTTTTTTTTTAATGGTTGAACTGGATGGACTTTTATCTTTTTTTCAGCCAGACTAACTATGTAACTACAAGTGGGAAGTGTAACCCCAAAATAGGGAAATACCATCAATCCTTTCCTTTAGTCATGGAAAGAAAAATCCAGAACAAAAAATCCCTAAGATTAATGAGGCACTGGATTTCTTTCAACCATATATAAATGAATTGTATTCATATAAGGAATGACCCACAATGAGCTGCAAATTAATTTGCTTTTATTAAAGTAGCCAGCAGGAACCAGTTCTGTTCTGACATGGTTTGTGCTAGGCACAGCACTTTCTTAAAGAATGGCAAAGCCATTACCAGTACACTAATACATAGACACATTAATACCACATGGCCATTAACCCCCTTCAGTATCTAACCACTTGCCTACCCGGCACTTATACCCCCTTCTTTACCAGGCCAGCTTTCAGCGCTGTCGCACTTTGATTGACAATTGCGCGGTCATGCAAGACTGTACCCATATGAAATTTGTATCAATTTTTCTCACAAATAGAGCTTTCTTTTGATGGTATTAAATCGCCACTGGGCGCTTTACTTTTTGTGCTATAAACAAAAAAATTGCAAAAAATTTGAAAAAAAAAAAAGTTTCTTTGTTTCTATTATAACATTTTCAAACAGGTAATTTTTCTCCTTCACTGATGTGCGTTGATGAAGCAGCACTGATAGGCAGCACTGAAGGGCACTGATAGGCAGCACTAACGAGGTGGCACGGATAGGCGGCACTGATAGGCAGCACTAATGAGGTGTCACGGATAGGTGGCACTGATGGCTACTGATAGACAGCATTGATAGGTGGCACTGACTGGCATCACTGTTGGGCATTGACTGGCGGCACTGCTGGGCACTGACTGGCACAACCGCTGGGCACTGACTGGTGCAACTGACTGGCAGCACTGGTGGGCACAGGTGGGTGGCACTTCTGGGCACACGTGTGACACTGCTGGGTGGCACAGGTGGGTGCACTGCTGGGCACAGGTCGATGCACAGGTGGGCAGAGCTAGTGGGCGCACTGCTGGGCACAGGTGGGCGGAGTTAGTGGGCGCACTGTTGGGCACAGGTGGACGGAACTTGTGGGTGGTACTGCTGGGCACCGATCATCAGGGCACTAATCATCAGGGCACTGATCATCGGTGCCGATCCCTGCTCTAACAACTGCCGGTTCTCGGCAGTACTTTTCTCACAATCTGACGGCGTGAGGAAAGTGCAGCCGAGAACCGGCAATTGCATTTCCCGGTGATCAGCGTGTCATTGGACATGGCTGATCACGTGGTAAAAGGCCGCTGTGATTGTCCTTTTACCACATCACGTGATCAGCTGTGTCCGTAGAACACAGCGATCATGGAGATCGCCGGGTGCGTGACCCCAGGGGCGCGCAGGAGAGCGCGTTCTGGGAGGACGTCATATGACGTCCACCCAGAACTGGCCGGCCGCAGTGCAGCCGTCATTCGGCTATCTGCGGTCGGCAAGTAGTTAAACACATTTACCTCCTTTGTTCAAAACAAAAAATATATTCAGTAATTGTGTGTGTATGTATGTATGTATGTATGTATGTGTGTGTATACACACTGCTCAGCATAAATGAGTACACCCCAACACATTTGTCAGGAAACCTTTCCTTTCAGAATCAACATTTTCTACTGGACACTATACTACAAATGTGGGCCATTGATTGCAAACAAGATTTGTTAATTTGCACACACAAAAAAGTATTTTCTTAACAAATTAATTCCAGGCCATATTGCAAAAATGAATACACTCCTATGAAAGTTTTAGAAGCAAAGCTAAAATTTTAGACAACACAATCTTAACAATAATTCAACTACAGGTGAGTATGATTATTAATTAAACAGATGTCCAGCAGACAGTTGATTATAAAAAGGTGTTATTTAACAAAGAAAACCCCTTCCCATTTCATGCTGTCACCACATGGAAGAGAAATGTCACAAGGCCTGAGAAATAAATTAATTTACACAAGAAAGGTAAAGGCTACAAGACGATCAGCAAAGGTTTACTTATGAGTCAGTATAATGTAGCAAAAGTTATACAAAAAATGTAAACAAAGATGGAACTGCAACCATCTCAAAGAGACATCCAGGCTGTCCACGAAAGTTAACACCTTAACAGGAGCATCTTCTGATGAGAAGGGTTGAAGAAAATCGCCATGCAAGTTCACTGCAGTTAGCTAAAGAAGTAGAAAGCCAAACTGGGGTGATTGTTTCCTGTGACACAATATAGCGTACACTGCAGAGGAATGGCATGCATAGGTGTCATCCACAAAGGAAGCCTCTCCTAAACCCATGCACAAAAAAGCCAGCCTAGAATTTGCTGGGGCCCATGCTGAAAAAGAAGACTACTGGCACTCTACTCTGGAGTGATGAGACCAAGATAAATGTTTTTGGAACTAATGGCTTCAAAACTGTATGGTGTCGCAAAGGTGAGGAGTACAAAGAAAATGCATGGTGCCTACAGGTAAACATGGTGGTGGCAGTGTCCTTCTGTGGGGCTGCATGAGTGCTGCTGGTGTCGGGGAGCTGCATTTTATTGATAATAGCAATAGTGGTGTGACCCTCCTGCGCTCCAAATATTGTGTTTTAAACAATTAACAAATAAAATATATGAACCCCAAACAGCTGCTAGCATTAAATCATATACCAGTGATCAAGTGAATATAAATCATATAAATGCTGCGCTACATTCAAAACTAAAAGTGAATGTGGAATCCAATGACATAAATATATTGACAATAAAAACCATATAAATGCTACGCTACATTCAAACTAATTAAAGTGAATGTGGAATTGAATAGCTCAAATAAAATAATAACAGTAATGATAAATATAGTAAAATATCGTAAAAAATGTGCTAAGTGATAACACAAAAATGATGAAGTCACGTGATATTGTGACGTAACGCGTCGGCGTAGCGCGGTGACGTATTTCCGGCGTGGCGGCCATCTTGGTACACCTGTGGATTCAGCTGTACACCCAACTTACATACACATATCCTCATTTGAGAGCATGAGGGTTTAATGTGGACTGGCTGCTACGTGAGTGCTTTTTTATTATACATTTGATGTTCCTATGGTATAATAAACTTACTACACTATGGGAGGATCCCTTTGTTTTATTCTGGGAAAGTAATATTTCATCTACACTTGGAGAAGAGCTGAGTGGGAATATTGTATCCTGAGAAGTGGCTTTGGAGTGCTTTGGTGCCTGGAGGATCTGTGAGAGGGATCCATACTGCTCTTTGACCCGCAAGGGTCGAAGAGATGAGGTGAGAGGCTAATCCAGAAGGTGGTTGGATTCACAAGTTATCTACACCCAGATACCTGCACGTTTTGTTTCACTTGTGGTCACTTTACAGCCTATTGGAAACACAGTTTACCAAAACCAAAAAATTTTTTTTCACCCTTAATATTTCATTATTGGACTTTTTTCACCTTAATATTCCATTATTGGACTTTGAGTTTGTGTGTATTATTTAGATGTAATTTCACTTCACATTTTTGCACGTGTGATGTAATATATTTATTTTTATGCACATGCGTATTGATTTAAGTTTGTGTTTTGCCATCATTTTTGTGTTATCACTTAGCACATTTTTTACTATATTTTACTATATTTATCATTACTGTTATTATTTTATTTGAGCTATTCAATTCCACATTCACTTTAATTAGTTTGAATGTAGCGTAGCATTTATATGGTTTTTATTGTCAATATATTTATGTCATTGGATTCCACATTCACTTTTAGTTTTGAATGTAGCGCAGCATTTATATGATTTATATTTTATTGATAGTATCATGAATTCATAGATGTTCTGCTCTATATTGAAAGAGAAGGTGCTACCATCACTCTGTGCCCTTGGTCGTCGTGCACTTTTCCAACATGACAATGATCCAAAACAGATATATACAATTGTGTTCAAAATAATAGCAGTAAGACATCATTAACCTGATCACTGTTTTTGGTAGAAATGATATTTCTATATGGCAAATAATTTACTAGCAGGTGTAATAGAGTAATAGAAATCCAACAGACCCAACAGTCATGACATGCATGCTGCTGATTCTGTGTAATTGAATCACTAATTGAAAGGGGCATGTTCAAAATAATAGCAGTGTGGAGTTCTATTAGTGAGGTCATTCATTCTTTGAAAAACAGGTGGCAATTATTGCCCTTATTTATGGAAGGAATCCAGCAAATGTTGTACATGCTGGTTACAGTGCATTTCTCTCTGAAATTCTGAGAAAATGGGTTGTTCCAGACATTGTTCAGAAGAACAGCGTACCTTGATTAAAAAATAGATTGGAGAGGGGAAAACATATAAAGAAGTGCAGAAAAATGATAGGCTGCTCAGCTAAAATGATCGCAAATACTTTAAAATGGCAACCAAAACCTGAAAGACGTGGAAGAAAGCGAAAAACTACCATTTGAATGGATAGAAGAATAGCCGAAATGGCTACAACTCACAAATTTTAGATTTTCTACCACTATCTGTCCCAGGGACAATGGTTATCAGGACAAATACAGAGGGTCAATGTCCACTGCAATTAAATAAGCCAGTTGTTTGCACAGCTCAGTGACACAGCTCAGCAGGGGGAGAGATAAGAGGGAAACATGATATATATATATATATATATATACATATATATACATATACAGTATACATACAGTACATACACACATAAAACATGCTCGCTGGTAAGTGTGCTGGGAAATCTTCTGTTTGTACTGTTGAATTCCCTTCCATGTGCACCTTTCTTTAAAAGCTAGTTATAAATGGGGGCTGTTGCCATTCTTGTATAGCTTGCTCGATGGGTTTGGTGTGGAGACACATTGAATGGCTTCAGCTGCCATTGTGCTCTTGCTGGGCTTCTAATATGTCGCTGAGTCTTTAAAGGAGGAATGGGCTTCCTCCAGGCATACCTGTCTTTAAAAGAGAAGTTCACCTTTTGACAAAAAATAATAAATGCACTTTTTTTTTGCAGGAAAAAAAATGTGCATTTATTATTTTTTGTTCCAGGAGCCTGTAAACCATTGCACCAGTGATCAGCAAATTGTTGGTGTCCTGCAGGGTCTCCTGTAGACCTGTCAGTATATCTACTTGCCCATACAGGATGTATGGGTAAGCAGATATACTGACAGGAAGAATCAATTAACCATTAGCCGCCTGGCCAATGGCCGTTTGGCGGCTTCAAATGTGTCTCTGCACTCCGGGTGCACGCCATTTGGCGTGCTCCCGCACATGCGCAGTTTGCGCTAATGCAGAGCGGCGCAGCAGTGCGATCTGTCACCGGCCGTGCACCTCGGACACGGCCGATGACAGATCCGAGTACCGGCTCCCGTTGCTGGTACCATGGGACCTGCTGTGACCAATCACAGCAGGTCACATGACAGTTGTATACAATGGATGGCTTCATTCATGATGCCATCCATTGTATACTAGTGCCTAGCTGTGAATGGTCCCAGCTAATCACATGCACATGTCATGTGATTAGCTGTGACCAAATCACAGCTAAGCACAAAAAAAAAAAAAAAAAAAAAAAAAAAAAAAGCTGAATGAATCGATTTCATTCAGGTAAATGCTTGCTTATAGCAAAGTAATTCTTTGTTATAAGCAAATTGTGTAAAAAAAAAAAAAATACTGATCACTTCCCCAAAGTAGTACAATGTTACTATGGTAACATTGTACTACTTTGGTCATAGTAAAATATGAAAAAAAAATCTTAAAAAAATTAAAAAAAATGTAATAAAAAATTAAATATAATAAAAAAAAAAAAAAAAAAAAATATATATATTTTTTTTTTTTCATACTGTCACCAGTCAGTGTCCCTGTTCACCGCCATGCCAGTTATATGATGACGCTGTACTGCACTGGTGACAGTATGCAAAAAAAAAAAAAAAAGTGAAAATAATTTTTTTAATTTTTTCATTTTCCGAAAAATTATGACAAAAAAAAATACAACTTCAAAAAACTCGCCATGCCTCTTATGAAGTACGTCGGACTGTCTACTCTGCAAAAAGGGGTCATTTGGGAATATCTGTAC